TTGTTTTAAAGTGTCCAATTATTAGATAAAGTGGTGAAATGCGATGTTACATTTTGATGATGAGTATTGGTTTTTCTTATTATTGTTTCCAAAGTGCGGGTGTCGGTGAGATTGGAATGAAATAAATATATTAAAGTTAGAAGAGTATTGTTAAGAATATTATTATTATTTTTTTTTTTTTTTTTTTTTTTTATTGCTTAGATGGGTGAACGAGCTCACAGCCCACCTGGTGTTAAGTGGTTACTGGAGCCCATAGACAACTACAACGTAAATGCGCCACCCACCTTGAGATATAAGTTCTAAGGTCTCAGTATAGTTACAACGGCTACCCCACCCTTCAAACCGAAACGCATTACTGCTTCACTACAGAAATAGGCAGGGCGGTGGTACCTACCCGTGCGGACTCACAATAGGTCCTACCACCAGTGATTACGCAAATTATAATTTTGCGGGTTTGATTTTTATTACACGATGTTATTCCTTCACCGTGGAAGTCAATCGTGAACATTTGTTAAGTACGTATTTCATACGAAAAATTGGTACCCGCCTGCGGGATTCGAACACCGGTGNACCAGTGATTACGCAAATTATAATTTTGCGGGTTTGATTTTTATTACACGATGTTATTCCTTCACCGTGGAAGTCAATCGTGAACATTTGTTAAGTACGTATTTCATACGAAAAATTGGTACCCGCCTGCGGGATTCGAACACCGGTGCATCGCAACAACGAATGCACCGGACGTCTTATCCTTTAGGCCACGACGACTTCAAAATAATAATTAATAATTTTAATTTATTATTATTATTAATAAGTTAAGAATATTGTTCAAGCTGTTAGTTTAAAAAGGATAAGACGTGCGGTGTATTCGTATGTAGCAATGCACCGGTGTTCGAACCCCAGGCTGGTACCAATTTTTCTAATGAAATACGTACTCAACAAATGTTCGCGATTGGCATCCACGATGAAGGAATAACATCGTGTAATAAAAATCAAACCCGCAAAATTATAATTTGCGTAATTACTGGTGGTAGGACCTCTTGTGAGTCCGCACGGGTATATACCATCACCCTGCCTATTTCTGCCGTGAAGCAGTAATGCGTTTCGGTTTGACGGGTGGGACTGCCGTTGTAACTGTACTGAGACCTTAGAACTTATATCTCAAGGTGGGTGGCGCATTTACGTCGTAGATGTCTAGGGGCTCCAGTAATCACTTAACACCAAGTGGCTCGTCCACACATCTAAGCAATAAAAAAAATACAATCTACTAAGGGAAAACGAGTTTTTTATCAAGAGAATCTTTTACTACGAAATATTCATGTAGGTACATTTTCGGAATCATTGTTGTTTCTGTTCGCAATACGTTATAATTGCTAGTTTCGTTGCATCCATGAAAAACGCGCAAATAATTATCGACAAAGGTAGTTTTTATTATCAAAAATCGAAATTGAGTGCTTATTATGCAGTATTTACTGGAATTTAAAGGTAAAGCGTAAAGTGTCAGCGTAAAGTGTTAAGATGTATACGATTCAGCAAAAGGCTTGCGTCCACAGCATCGCTGATCTCCGTCGCTTGGTTTTTTTTACAGGTGGGCGAGTAAATGCTCAGCCAGGGTTGGGATTTGCTAACCGCAACCTGAGCCCCTCCAGATGAGACCTTGACCATAGTCTTATCCTGATAAAACACGACGAATTTGTTACCTACTACTACTACTACTACTACTTACCTACTACGTTGGTGGAAGGGAATTTAGAAAACGATTTAGTTTGCGACTTTGATCTCACGTTTCAAAGTTACTTTCACGTTGTGTCAAAGCTTTCCGGTAACCACTTAAGACTAGACGGAGACGTCAAACAATATGTGTCAACATACAAATGATAAAGGTATAGTGAACAAAATTAAATAGATACTAGAGGTCCCGCAGTAGTCGAAATTCGACTATAATTAATTGGAATTGTAAGTTTGTACACTATTATGATTGTATTTTATACTTCTATAATCACAAATTTCGCCAAGACTACACTATAAAAAATATTAACAAAGACAAACAATATTCTCAATTTGACAACAGACGTCAAGAACAAAAGTTTGACAATAAATAGTATGCATGCGTGTGTGCGTCAAATACATGGTATGTAGTGTGTGTAATGTTTTCTTTATTGATTTAATGTATCTTTTATGCATTATTTAAAAAAAAAATTAGCATTGTGCACTTCTTCTCTATATTCTCTATAAGTGTGGAAAATTTCATACTCCTCCGTCCGNTCAAATACATGGTATGTAGTGTGTGTAATGTTTTCTTTATTGATTTAATGTATCTTTTATGCATTATTTAAAAAAAAAATTAGCATTGTGCACTTCTTCTCTATATTCTCTATAAGTGTGGAAAATTTCATACTCCTCCGTCCGCGCAATTTTCGTAAAAAGGGATACAAAGTTTTTGCTTCACGTATTAATATATAGATAACACGAGGTTCATTCAAAAAGTTTATTCGCTTTAACATCTTGAATTATAAGTTCGTTGGACGTTCCTTGCCGGCCGGTTGAGGTCTGACGGTGAATAAATTCAGATAAGATGATTTAAATTTTTAATGCTACCGTTCATTTCGCGACCGACTCCAACTTCGAGGAGTTTTCATGTTTTATGTTTCATTTTTATTTTATGCTGTGACCTTGGTAGAGAATTACGTATTTTGTTATTTCAGGAACTACTAATTTTCTTAATTAAACCTCTCCCAAGATCGGGTAACCGTTTGTCCCAGCCCTTAAAAAAGATAAGAATAGTTGATAATAAATTTTACACGTTGATAAGTTCACTGCATTTATTCAGTCGGTCGTCAAGATACGGGTATGGTACTCACGGTGCAACTCCCGCGTCATCTGTCCTGAACAAGGATCCCTTGGCTTTCGGCTCTGGCCGTGTGATCTAGAATAGCACCACCTTATCTCCTCGCGTGGGTTTGAAAGGCGATTAAAGATTTCCCCGGGGAATGGGAAGCATTCTTTGAGTAACCTAATTAGCGTATCCTGATCGCGAATCGGGATTACTGGTAGGGTATTGCTAGTTGGGTGGTGGGTTCGTTCTTCTCTTTATGCAATTAAAAAAAAATAACCCCCTCACTAATTCTTTCCTAATAAATCAATTCCAGGCTTCTGCAGATCAAATTTACACTTAATTTACATAAGGCCGAATTAAAAAAAATCTATGTACTTATTTATGTCTATCTATCTATTTATTATCTATATTAAATTTATTGGCCTTTTTAAACGGTTAACGTAAATTAAATTAATGTTAAAAAAAAGGAAATACGGAACATGTAGGTTCAGTGCTGGTATTACTAAGGTCTAAAGCTATTGTTAATGGAATATTGAAAGAACACTCGTCTGATCATTTATCATATCATTATGCTTGATTATAAATAGTACACTAAATTAAGACGTTAATTTTATCTTAAAATGAGAACAGATCTCGTCAGCCATATTTGCACGATGCAATTTATAGACTTGGCTCACCATTAAAAGCACGGCATTAATTTTATTAAGGAAAAGCCGTGAAAAGCGACCTCAAATGAATACCGGCCTCCATTTTCACGCAAATTAAAAGAGACAAACGTAACCATAGACAAGGTTTTCCCGCGCGCGCTAAAACACGCCATTCACCGACGTCGGTATTCAATTGCTCGAGGGCGTAAAGGAACGCCCCGAGGCATTAATTAGAGCAGAAACTCGTGTCTATGGCCGTTCCTTTTTTAAAACTGATGTCTTTATTCGGCCCTGGAGCTTTGTGTACGTTCCGTTTCTGCTTGAGTGTTGAAGTTAAGTGTTAAGTGAGGTTTTGCTATTAATGTCTTGTTGGTTATCGAAATAACTGGGAAATTCATTGTATGGATTAAAAAAAGTCACAATTATTAATTTAATATTTTTTTTATAATTGAAGAAACAAGTGTTCGTTTTGATCGTAGTGTTCGATCTTTTTGTGGTGGCCCGGAGGCCTTTCCAGTTTCACCAGGACAGGTGGGCGAGCAAAGGCTCAACCAGGAGGGTTGTTCGAGGGGTGGTCAATTAATAAATAATTTAGATGGTATTGCACTGACATCATCATGATATTCATATATCAGTAAAGACAATGCACATTTAGTTAGAATATATTACAATATTTAGAGCTAATTATGGAGTCGAAGCAGCTTAAACATTAATATTTGAAAAAGGAAAGGGGTTTAGAGTTCTTTGAACAAATTGTCAGAAAGAGAGGACAAAATTTGTAGAACCTGCTGGTAATGGGCAAGGAAGAAAGCCCAGAGGCAGAAGTCCAATGTGCTGATTGGACTAGATACGTTCCACTCTCAACACTTCAGTCTTACAGTCTTAACTTACTTACTTACTTCAGTTTACAAATATCTAACACTATTGATGTATTTAGATAACTATAAATTAACATCAACAAAAACTGTACACTTGGAAAACTGGAAAAAATATAATAATAACAATAAAAAACGAGAGCCGTCAAATTGGTGTTCATTACAGTCGTACTCATGTATGTTTTGTGTGAGATGTCCATTAACCGTCCTAGGTTTTTTATTTTTTTATTGCTTAGATGTGTGGGCGAGCTCACTGCCCATTTGGTGTTGTGTGGCTACCACCAGTACCTTGTTTTTTTTTGTCAGACAGGATGCCCAGGCTTCCGTGCATAAGGAGCGGGTACGTGCGATCAGACTGCGGGTCCAAGGATGTTTTAGGGCCCTGTCTACCACACGACTCTCCTTGCACTGTCTCACCCGACGTCTATTTACCACCCGGGGTTAGAACCCAGACAGAGGGGGAGGGAGGACCCCTCCCTCCCCTTCTGCGCAACAGCCACACTCGCGGCGCAACCCCGACTGACGGGTCGTTGAGGCGAACCCCAAACCATCCTGGTTTTTAGTTAACCTTTTAAAAACCAGATAAACCCTTGTGATAATATAAAAGAAACAATTTCCTAACAAACTTCTCATTTCCCACAGGCTCTATGAATTACGTCGAAGAACAACAAGAAAACGTGAGATGCGCATCGCAACACAGCCAAATCCTAGAAAGTTCTGACATCGATGACGACATATCCGTGGGAGACAATCGCAGCGAGACATCGACGCCGAAAAAACGTTACGACCTTGAGAAGAATTCGGATGATTCAAAAAAAAACGAACCGAGAGACGCTCCTTCCCTCACAGAGTACGAACAAAACAGAATATCAAATTACGAATCATTCAAAGATGACGAACGAGACTTCGAGAACAGAAGCGATGAACGAATGAAGATTTACGAGGGCGGTCTGTTCCATTTGTACAGACCCGACCGAGACTCCAAGGAGGAGGAAAATGAGAGGTCTTTCGTTATGTCCGGGTCCCTTACGGACAGTATCTACGGTCGATCTATGGACCTGTCAAAGACAACGTTCCAGTCGCAGCTGTTGGCCGGTTTTGCTGCTTCGGTCATGGCGGGGACTTCGCAGAGAGATTCACAGGATGCCACAGGTATTATTCACGGATACCCTCTCTAGTATATATTGTACTACTGCAAGGCTTAATATCAGGTAGATAAAGGTGGAGCAAGACGAGGACGCTAGACGTATGAGGAACATAGTGTCTAACTCTTTGTGGCCTAAGGGATAAGACGCTCGACGCATTCGTATCGAGCGATGCGCCTGTGCTACGGTTCGGATCCCGCAGGCAAATATTAATTTATCTAATAAAATACGTACTGAACACCACTCACAAATACGTTCTACGGTGTAGGAATAAAATCGTCTAATATGTATAATAAAATGAATGAATGAATGAATGAATGAAAATTCTTTATTGCACAAAAACATTGTACAAAAGCGAACTTAACGCCATGCAGGGACTCTCTTCCAGTCAACTCTCGTTGATGAAGTGAAAGATTTAAGAAGTGCGTAGCTGTGACAAAGTTAATACATGGCGATAATTTAAAGAATTATAGTAGACATGAGTGAAAGTAAAACACTAGGTTATAATTATGTTTCTTCGGCGCGCACTGTGCGGTACCGTGGGTTTCGTGGAGTCGGAGTGGTGGGGCTCGATGGGGTTTAGTCGGTAGTCGTTCTGCGGGGCAAGTGCTTCGCGCGCCTTTTTCAAGGCGTAGTCTCCTGTGAGAAATTGGGGGAGGTGAAGGACCTCGGCTCTTCTCTTCTCCCCTTCTTCCTCTCAGGAGGCGCCAGAGTCCGACATAACCCGGTCCGTTACCCCCCTCGACCGGGTATCCGTAAATGGATTCCCCAGCGTTAAATAATTATGTTTATTTTATTTTATTTTTTATTGCTTAGATGGGTGGACGTGCTCACAGCCCACCTGATGTTAAGTGGTTACTGGAGCCCATAGACATCTACAACGTAAATACGCTACCCACCTTGAGATATAAGTTGTAAGGTCCTCAGTATAGTTACAATGGCTGCCCCACCCTTCAGACCGAAACGCATTACTGCTTCACGGCAGAAATAGGCAAGGCGGTGGTACCTACCCGTCCGGACTCTCAAGAGGTCCTACCACCACTAATTACGCAAATTACAGATTTGCGGGTTTGATTTTTATTACACGATGTTATTCCTTCACCGTGGAAGTCAACCGTGAACATTAATTTGTTGAGTACGTATTTCATTAGAAAAATTGGTACCCGCCTGCGGGATTCGAACACCGGTGCATCGCTACATACGAATGCACCGGACGTCTTATCCTTTAGGTCGCATCGACTTCAAAATAGATAGATAAGAGATAGAAAAAATACATACAAAATAGATAGATAAGAAATACATATAAAATAAAATAAATTATATAAACCACAACATACTACAAAACAATCAAGCTATCTATTCCTAAAATGCAATCCAGAAAAATTATAATTTTCGTAATTACTGGTGGTAGGACGCACGGGTATCACGAACCTGCCTTATTTCCTGTGAAGCAGTAATGCGTTTCACTACGAAGGATACGCCAGGCATTGTATTATAAAACTGAGATTCAGAGCATGTGTCTCAAGGTGGGTGAGGCTAGTTAAGTTCTTTGGGGGCAGGTAGAACGCGAACTCATCCACCCATCTAAGCAAATTAAAAACACAGTTTATAATACAGTTATTTATTATAATTGATATTATGATCTCGATTCGCAAAGGGGCGGTACTGAAGTTTTGTATCCGTGTTGGCCAACAGCCATCTCCATCAGCATCGAGAATTAAAAAAGCAACTCTAAACATTTTCTACGTCACCGTTTTTGTTGATTTGACAGTGAATGGTATGGCGACATGTGAGCCGTACACTGAAGTACTATATAGGTCTATGGAGCCGCACGGTCGCCATCGTCCCGTCTATTTCAAATGTAAAGCCAGCCTGGAAGAACGGTTGCTACTCTATCAGTCATATTTCTTTACCTATTGACCCCCTAAGCTCTGGTCTATACCTGGTCTATTTTATTTAATGCACTAATTCCATTACGAATAATAATTCTAGACGCATATAGCATTTATCAACTGATTTGAATCAATCAATGAAGCTTCTTTAGATGAACATGTATGTTTAAATAAATCATTAAAATAACAATTCAATTAGGTTTTCAGGATTGTTGGATTGTCAGGATTAGCGTGCACAAACGTAAATACAGATTTGTTTCGATCTTCTTAGAGTTTAGTGTAGAGGAAAAATAAAAACTCTTTGGAAACATCGGTCTTTTTGCCTGCGGTTTTTTTTAGACACCAATCCAGTTTGACTTCTAGTCGATGGCAGAATCTTTTTACAGATATCATTTAGGTTTTCGAGGTAGTTGTTTTTGTCTTGTAGGCCTTTTCTAGAGTGTTCAATTCAAAAAGTACTTGTCTGCATTTGACATTCGGTAGGTTCAGAAGTATTTTCTTCCATTTACATAGGTTTGACTCTACAGATGTCCATCCGTCTTTCGAGTGTTTTCGTTTAATCAAGTTTCAAATAATAAAGCTGATTGATAAGTTTCCAATTGAAAATGTCCGTGGACGGCGCGCGGTGTCTTCGCCTGCCATCCTGGTACTAATGACGAAAGTTATCGGCTAAATCTTTTTTTTTTATTGCCCTTGTAGGCAGACGAGCATACGACCTACCTGATGGTGAGTGGTTACCGTCGCCCATGGACTTCAGCAATGCCAGGGGCAGAGCCAAGCCGCTGCCTACCGCAATCTCCGGCTTTACCGATTTCTGTTTGTTTCGATTAGATCAGCAACTACCGAATCGTGCTTCGACGACTGTCAGTAACAGTCGCAAGCCGCGCCGACGCCGCACTGCCTTCACCCACGCGCAGCTCGCGTACTTGGAGCGGAAGTTCCGCTGTCAGAAGTACCTGAGCGTTGCTGATAGAGGCGACGTGGCCGAGGCCTTGAGTCTCAGCGAAACTCAAGTCAAGACCTGGTACCAAAATCGGAGGTAGGTCTAGGACAAATTTGACGATCAACTGCGACTCGAATCGGTTGGAACTACTGAGTTATTAAAACCGCACCAGCCCTCCCAAATGCACTTATTCGGGTTCTGTTTCGATTGAGATTATAGAATTACTTTAAGCTTTATTTATCTCTAGCGTTCTTAGTTTACTACATCATAGGAGAACTGATTCAAAAAGAATAATCTTACATAGCTATTCTAGACGTCCAGTCCACAGCCCACAATTTTAGTGGTGGTAGGACGTCTTGTGAGTCCGCACGGGTAGGTACCACCACCCTGCCTATTTCTGCCGTGAAGCAGTAATGCGTTTCGGTTTGAAGGGCGAGGCAGCCGTTGTAACTATACTGAGACCTTAGATCTCATATCACAAGGTGGGTGGCGCATTTATGTTGTAGATGTCCATGAGTTCGGGTAATCACTTGGGCCGTGAGCTTGTCCACCCATTTAAGCAATAATTTTTTTTTAAATGTTTTATGATTTAGTTTGCAACTGTGTGTGTTTGCAACTTAACAAAACCTGTGTTACTAAGTCAGACCTTCACCATCCAGGACGAAATGGAAGCGTCAGAACCAGCTACGCCTGGAGCAGCTCCGAGCCCAGGCCGCGACCGGGGAGCGAGAGCTGTCCCACGCCCTGCCCCTCGCCTGCGCGCTGCTGCCCCCCTACCCTGCTTACATGCACTGCCATCTTTGAGGATCATCGGGGTCTAATCTAGTTCAAATCTTTACCCATCATTATGATAGAGCTTAGTGAACATGTTGATGATCTGGAAAATGAAAATTTGTTATTTATAATCTTCAACTTTTAGCGTTTATAATGTTTTGAAATCGTCGCGGCCTAAAGGATAATACGTCCGGTGCATTCGTATGTAGCGATGCAACGGTGTTCAAATCCCGCAGGCGGTTACCAATTTCGAAGGCAATTGTGAACATTTGTTAAGAATAAATACATTCTTAACAAATGTTCACAATTGCCTTCGAAATACGCAAAATTATAATTGGCGTAATTACTGGTGGTAGGACGTATTGTGAGTCCGCACGGGTAGGTATCACAGCCCTGCCTATTTCTGCCGTGAAGCAGTAATGCGTTTCGGCTTGAAGGGTGGGGCAGCTGTTGTGACTATACTGAGACCTTAAAACCTATATCTCAAGGTGGGTGGCGCATTTACGTCGTAGATGTCTATGGGCTCCAATAACCACTTGATACCAGGTGGACTGTGAGCTCGTCCAGCCATCTACGCAATAAAAAAACCTGTTCATCATAGGAATATTTGCCCGAAGTGGGAATCGAACCCACGACCCTCGACGCAACAGTCAGAGCTGACTACTGCGCTATCAAATCAGGCTTATTGTTGAAATTACTTTTCGAGCGGCTAGCGGGAAAATGAATTTGTTTTATTTTATTATTTTTTCTTATGGCTATCGGCTTCTTGCTATGCCATTGTTGTGAGTGTTGAGTTTATAAAAATCTTCAATTATTTTAAACATACGCTAGTGCACCCGACAGACGTTACTCTGTGGGCACGTCTTAAAGTTAAAAACATCAAACCTCTTTGGATAAATTGTAACAATTTCAACCGTTGAAGGTTATAAAAAAAAATTATACTAACGGAAATGTGAATCTAAGCTTTTGAAGTCGTCGTGGCCTAACGGATAAGACGTCCGGTGCATTCGTGTTGAGCGATGCACCGGTGTTCGAATCCCGCAGGCGGGTACCAATTTTTCTAATGAAATACGTACTCAATAAATGTTCACGATTGATTTCCATACTGAAGGAATAACATCGTGTAATAAAAATGAAACTCGCAAAATTATAATTTGCGTAATTTCTGGTGGTAGGACCTCTTGTAAGTCCGTGCGGGTGGGTACCACCGCCCTGCCTATTTCTGCCGTGAAGCAGTAATACGTTTCGGTTTGAAGGGTGGGGCAGCCGTTGTAACTATACGTGAGACCTAAGAACTTATATCTCAAGGTGGGTGGCGCATTTACGTTGTAGACGTCTATGGGCTCCAGTAACTACTTAACACCAGGTGGGCTGTGAGCTCGTCCACCCATCTAAGCAATAAAAAAAAAGCCATTTTCGAAAGCACAGAAACAAATTCATCAAAATCAATCCAGCTGCCATACACAAGCGACAGAAGAATTACATAAATACATGTATAAAGCTATTCTGTTATATTAAAAAATTAATTGGAACGAAAGGAAATGAAGTTGATTAATTTGAGACTGTAATCGATTCGGTCGAAACTAAATGAAATGAGAGAGATTAAATGAAATTAGGTCGTAGTGAGATGCTGTTTATTTACTCGTTTTCATTAAACTTTTTGAATATACTCAAAAAGCCACATCCAGCAGCTTTCTATTATTTTGACATATTTGTGCACTATCGCAGATTCGATTTCACGATGAATAAGTCATTACTACCCATTCAAACCTGAAAAAAGAAAAACAATATAACAAAATTAAGTAATGCACGCAGCATTGCTCGTCGTGTTCCCGCTTAAAAAGTTTAAAAATAAGATTAAACTCTGTTTAGTTAACCTCAGTTAGTAAACCTCATTGGATACAGATTAGCGTTATCATTAATTAGATTTAGAAAAAAATCCATATTTCGGCAAGAAACTCAACTTCATAAATGATTAAATCTATAAATAAATTTAGATCAATATAGTCTGCATATTTAATTATTAAAACTATTGTGTAAATCTAGATAATGTCGTCTACTTAGCAAATTAGCGTACCTATTTTTATGTATTAGTTTTATAGATAAAAGAGATAGATACGCAATGTGCAATATTATTTTAATTTATTTTTCTCCTAATACCTAGTAGTATTGTAAATCATTTTTATTTGTTTAAACGTTCAAGGTAGGTAGCATTTAGATAATAGGTATCGTGGTGTGAGAATAAGTTTCTTTATTATGTATAATGTAAATAAATCGTATTAAAAATAGAATTTAAGTTATTATTCATGTTTATAGATCGATAAATTATCATTTTATAATAAGTTTTGATGTTTTGTAAATTTCAAAATTTAGAGCAACTACAATTGCCTTCTAGTAAAAAAACAAGTTTATTCTAAAATATAGCACCCTGTTTCAATCAAAGTTCATTTCAGTACAAACCATTCCATTCTACGCGAATTATGCTAATATTTTGGCGCCATTTCGAATCAACGTTGGCAACCGCTGACAATTTGCATGTAATTAACATCGCAGATGATTCGGCATCCGCTGCAGCGCGTTAACGCGGCGGAGTTCTTTTGCTTCGTTAGGCCGTGCGATGTTTGTAAAGCGATGTTCCGCTGCTTTGTCCTGATTTAAATGGCCGTACAACTTTGACTGGGTCTCTGAGTCGCATTATCTGTTGAAATTGTACAAACGAGATGGTAATTTGTGGGTTGTTGTTAACTGTTGTCGAGGGGGTGGGTGGTCGTGAATGATCTGTAAATGAACAATTATGGTGTAATGAAAAGTGATTGTGCAGTTTTATTTTGATCATTACTTCACAATCATTATTTTCTGATATAATATTAAAATTTATTTCATTGGTGTCTGAAAAACAGTCGATGATACTAATAGGTTAATAGGTACGAAGATTATATGATTAGTTATAACGAGATTTTAATTTTGTGTTAGGTAGTAACAGTTCTGGCCTCTTTTTTTTGTACATATATTTTGGAAATAAGACCTTTAAGCCAAGTCTTATATTTTCTTCCTGTATCCTCTTATAGTATAAAATACGGTATGAAGCGAAATCTCATGTATTTAACACCTTGGCTGCGGCAAGTAAAACATAAACCTTCATCGGGGTGCGGCGGCGGGTGGAAAGCGCCCCTAACGATATTTCCACCAGTGGGTGGCAAGTCTTTCTCGACCTACCTAGTGCTGGTGGTAGATTAAAATGCTATAACTTTCCAAAAACATACTGTAAACAATTTATAGTATATAGTTGTCGGTTATCAAAAGGCTCAAGGTTACGCAAAGAGCTTTGGAGACAGCTATACTGGGCGATCAATTTCTATCTATTCTTGCTTCTGGCGGTGTGGAGGGCGTGTGAAATGTGGAATCAAAGAGCGGTGCGGATCTGGTCGGACCAACGTATTACAGCCTTCAGTGTGCTTAGTGTGAGTTTTTTAACGTTCTCGATAGCGTTAAAATTAGCTCATATTTGTATGGAATGAGATAGTTTGCGTACGTTTGCCGCTAGGGGCGCTGTTCCAACTGCATACAAATTTGGGTTAACTTTTACGCTATCGAGAACGTTAAAAAACTAGCACTAAGCACACAGGTCACAACGACTTAAAAAGGTTATTCAAATGGCCATATTAATTTTTATTATGTACTAGTTGACCCGGCAGACTTCGTAGTGCCTCAAACGATAAATAAAAGACAAAAGGAATCCGTCCGACGGGGGACACATCAAAGGACAAATAAAATTGTTATTTTTATTTAATTCCAAGCATTTTTATAATAAATACCTTTTAAACCTTCTCTGGACCTCCACAAATAATTTAAGACCAAAATTAGCCAAGTCGGTCCAGCCGTTCTCGAGTTTTAGCGAGACTAACGAACAGCAATTCATTTTTATATATAACTAGTCAGGTCATAAGTATTGTCACACAGTAAAAACTTTTCTTTTAGAATGCTGGGCACAAAAAAGTTTATTGAATTCGAATTTCGAATTGTTCATGAAAATAACAATGTATACTTTTAGAATTTTACTCATTTTTAAATATGGAGTGGACGCTTAAAGAAGACCGTGTTGCAGTTATTGCGTTGCATCGTTGCGGTTACGCGCCAATTAAAATTTTTAACATACTGAAAAATTTGAATATAACCAAAAGATTCGTTTATCGTACCATCAAATTCGATTTGAATCCGTTAGATTACAAGATATGGAAACACTTGGAGGAAAAGGCGTGCTCAAAGCCTCATCCCAATTTGGAGTCACTCAAGACATCCTTGATTAAGGCAGCCGCCGATATTGACATGGACCTCGTTCGTGCTGCGATAGACGACTGGCCGCGCAGATTGAAGGCCTGTATTCAAAATCACGGAGGTCATTTTGAATAAACTTTAGTGTCATAAGAATCTATGTTTTGTTAAGTTCATTTTGGTATATGAATGGTTACATAATGAATAAACTTGTTTCAATTATTTTACATTAAACATGTGACAGAATTTATGACCTGACTAGATATAGATTCTCATTCTAATAATCGGTTTATAATTTGCATAAACAAATACTTATTCATTTATTTATTGAGAATATTAAATAGAATTCATAGCTCCTTAAACAAAACAATTCATGACGAAGTTTAATTCGTAAAGAGTCAATTACAAGCAAACATTATACAACGGTAAACAGTAATTTTGTTCATAGACTGTCATTACTGGATGGCTTTATAGCTCCAATCAGTCGACTCTTCACATCTCTGATTGTTTATTCACGTCTTTATTTCAGTTTTGAGCGAACGGGAGTTTATTAAAGGGATCACGCTGTGAGGTAATTGGGCTGTTTTCTACCCTCCGTGGAAGCAGACGCGCCGCGGGTGTGTCAGGGTTACTACACTACGGAAGTATTACTATATTTTGGGATTAAAATTTTGGTACAATTATGTGTAATGAAAATTTGAAATGTTTCTTTTTTTATTTATTATCTTCAATTACTATTTGTCGGAGAAATTGAAGTT